GTTTAGGTTTAGGTTTAGGTTTATTAGATTTATATGCCGCCCTTCTCCCAAGGAATCAGGGCGGCGTACAACTTTAAAAGAAACACATAATATAAAAGTTTTAAAAAAATTAAATAGAATATCCCAAACCCAATTAAAATTGACAATTACATTTTTTTAAAAAAAAATCGAATTAAAATTAACAGTGATCAATAATTTATCTTGTTTCGTTCAGGACAGGCTGGCTTGCTGGAAAAGCCAACTTTTTAGGGCGCGTCGGAAGGACCTGAGGTCGGGGATTATACGAAGCTCTGGGGGCAGCTCATTCCAGAGGGAAAGTGCTCCCACAGAGAAACCTCTCCCTCTGGGGGTCACTAGCCGACACTGTCTGGCCGACGGTACCCTGAGGAGGCCAACTCTGTGGGATCGCACTGGACAATGGGAGACTACCAGTGGCAGTAGATGGTCTCGCAGGTACCCTGGGCCTAAGCCATGGAGCGCTTTAAAGGTCATAATTAGTACCTTGATTATTAAATACTTTTAATAATTAATTCTTGTCTAAATAGCACAAAAGGTCTCAAATGAAATCTCAACCAAGCTGGCTTCTGTGGGCAAAGTGGGAGCAAAGCATAGATTTAGTTTTGAACGTGCAAGCCTGGTTTACAAAAGCAAATCAAGAAGCAATACCAGGAGCAAGTTCTGACAATTCTCCTGCTTTGCCTGCCCTGTCAAAACCTATTCCCATTTTGTCTAGACAAGCCCACAACTGGCAAGGAGCAAAGCCCTAGTAAGTTTTGAGGGTGCTTTCATTTTGTTGGGGCAAGTCTGAATTTTTTTAAAAAATTGAATAACCTCTTAAGTTTCTCACAGTACTCTAAGACATAATGATTGATCCAAGAAAACTATATTTTCAGTGAACTAGAAGATATTTAATTAACATGTGACACGGAAACGTGTTTTTATTTTGAGCTAAACATTTTTACGTGGAAAGAAAGAAAAATACTTGCAACAGGAAGTATACATATTTAAATACAGGCTGAGATTTCTCCCCCCCTCCCCTTTAATTAGTATGGGAATAGAGCTTATTAGCCAGGTTAAGGACTTATTGAAAGGACATTGTGTGTGTGTTTGTGTGTATGTGTATGTGTATGCATGCATGCAGTTGTAGCACTCAAATGAAACTAAATATATTCTGTCCCGTAGACCATCTTTTCTAAAAATCATTTTGATTTACATTTATATTTACTTGCAATGGTTATTTATATTTATATTTACTTGCAATGGTTATTTATATTTATATTTACTTGCAATGGTTATTTATATTTACTTGCAATGGTTATATTTATATTTGCTTGCAGTGGTTAACCTAGAGCCATCTCTTGGAGAGACATTTCTGCTCTTATGCTGCTCATATTTTCCATGCATAATTCATAAATGTATGTTCATTTGTAACATAGATTGGCAATTCCAGACTTATCTTTATCTACTGCGAACAAACAGCTTTTTTTACCTCTGTATATGTAGTCCAAATAATATCAAGTAACAAAGGATAGCTTATTGTGGTTGGAAAGTGATCTCTTGCTTCCAGGGGGATCAAAACTGTGAATGAAAACATTGTTTGGAACTGTTTTACTAACTTGGTTGGTTTGGTAGCAGTAAAGCAGGAGGATCTCAGACCCAGACAGCATGCTGTACTGTTCCTACCTATCAATAGTTATTTTTTCTATCTGCATGAAGAGAGAAACAAGTCAAGAACAAATAAGCTGTATATTTCAAGCATGTTGCCTTTTTACAGTTAACCAAAATAAATCCTATGTGGAAATATTTATTTTTTTATTGTAATATGTACATGTGGTCTAGTCACCAAAACCCAGCAGCTCATGATATTGAGCCTATGTCATGGAGGTTAAAAAAGTATACAAGAAAATACTAGTAAAGGACAAAAGCTTTGAGAGGAAATTGGCTGAGAAATAAGAGGGGGCATCATATCAGAAAAAAAAATGTTTGTCCATGGTTTCCAATTTCACTGTTAGGACCTTTCTTCCCATTATATCAGGAACAACAGACTTGGTCACGACCAGGTACTTATGGAATGTTAACACTGTCTCCTGTCCTACCTTGGAATCAAAGCAAGTAAGCTAGTTGTAGATTTTGAATAGATATACTCCTTAGTTCTTGCCCAGTCATATCTCAATGATATGTTGCTGATCCCACCAACAGGTCATGGGGGACCATATAGACCATTGAATAACATGGCTGGATTGAAACATTTTCTACTCCACATTCACAAACTTATACTCTTTCCCAGGGACAAACAGATGGGACTTTGTGTATTTCTTATTTTATTTTTACTTTGATATTCAACATTATGACAGCAGTATATGACAAATGCTGTCCCATCTCTGTTAAGAGTTCCAAGAAGTTAATGGTGCAGTCAATTGGTTTTTCATTTGCCAATTATCATGCAGATTCAGCTTTTAGATGAAGATTTAGATTAATGGGTGAAGTAATTAATGGGACAGATTTATGAAAGTGAATTAAACAACAGTTTATACACTATTCAGACCACATTTCTTATTCTTATTGAAAATCTTCATACCATGTATTCATCATTACTTCAGAACAAGTGCTACCTGAAAAATTATGTTTCTTTTCCAGGGCTATGGCCTTTTAAAATACCATTCTTTTAATTTTTAATATTTATGTATTTGCCATCATTATAACCTATTGAACAAAGAGTGGATTCATGCCTCAAGGAGTCTGCAGTCCAAAATTTTTTGTCAGTGGGCAGGAGAAATATGGGAAGGAGTAGAAAACCCAAATGGGAATAAAAGTTGTTTAAAAATAACATCTGTGTATGTGCGGATTAGCAAATTTTATGGGAAAATTCAACATGTATTTTTAAATGTTGACTCCCTGAACCTGGTTTTGACTGTCTTTCTTAGAAAGAGAACCTCTAAGGCTAAACCCAATTATGGCTGCAATACAGAAGAAGAATTTAAAACAGTCATAATAACACTATGAACCAAAGAAGAATATAAAATAAGTTGAGTACAAATAGTATGTTCGCTTTGACATTCTGCAGAATTAAATACCCTATTTATTTCCTTTTGTCATCTAATTATTATGAGTCTATATAAAAATCACATAAATATGTTAGATTTGCATTGCTTATTCCCCATTAGAATCATTTATTTATCCCTCTAAAACAGAGTCAACCTTTCTTTCCTCATATTTTTTCTCTCCTCCTTCCTTCCCTCTCTCCTCCCTTTAAGTAGAATTTCCAAGTAAATCTGATATTATTGTAACCCTGTTTTCCCAAATACGTTTTTCTGGGTTGTTATAAATAGATCAAGGCTCTCAGGAGGGTCAGAACATCTGAGATATTCTTGGACAAGTTTAGCATGCATCACAGTTTATACATAACAAATCAGATTAGCAGCTGTCCGGGATATTTACTAATGTCAGTAATGACCAAAACTGTTAATTTATTGTCTGAGCGTTATATCTTCGTTAAACTTGTGTTCACCTTCTCTGAAACTCTCCATGCTGCATGCTAGCACGGAGCAGCCGTATCCCCCGACCCAGCGTGAGTCAGGGGTGCAGCCGCGATACCAGCCGTGAGAGCAGCCGAGATACAAGCCCTGCTCGGGGCTTTCCTCCACTTGGTGAGTACCTGTAGGCACTAGAGCTTCTAAGGGCCACCCCTCCTCTTTCTTGCTGGCTAGTTGATGTACCTCTGAGTGGAATGGGCTTGTTATTCTCTTCATTTTTTTAAACCCTTAACCTTTCCCCTTTCTGATCTTCTTGTTTATTCTGTTTATTTCTGCATGCTTAAATCCTGCTTTTCTTTACTAGGAAAACCCGTAGTTTGAAATGCTTTTGATAATCTCCAGATTTTTTTGGACATGCACTTAGGCGCCATTGGTCTTGACAAATGCAACTATTGTAAAGGCTACATCATTGCAGGGAAAGTTGATGCTACTGAAAAGCATAACCTGCCTTTTTTGATCCAATGCAAAATGGGCATCCTTTGGAGAAAATTTAGAAAATATGCTCATCATATACAATTGGCACTGTATTCTTGGGCCTGAGTGCATGCTATATCAAGGATAACTTTTTCTGAGCCCCAGGTATACTGAATTCCTTTTATGCATAAAAAGCTTGTTCCTTAATTCACAGAGCTCAATTTCTATTTCTGCACTAGAGAAACTTACCATCTCTCTTGGTTTTTAAATTTATGATCCAGCCCTGTAGTTCACAGAGACCTATTTTTTCACATCAGAAAAATGAAGTCTTGTTTCTCTGTATATAATATTTTTATGCATTATTGTAAAAACAGTTGCATATTATGAAGAAAATATTTTTACACTTGGGACAACCTGAAATCTTGAAAATTGTGTATGCATCTGTGTGAGTGCTTCAGTTCAATTATATTTCTAGTTTACCCACATTGTATTTATAGAGAGAGGGGGAGGGGACAGGAGGAGAGAGGGAGGGAGGGAGAGAGAGAGAGACAGAGAGAGAGAGAGAGTACTTGAGATGTAGGAAAAAAGATGTTACAGACCTGAATCTTAGCTTACTGTTCATGAGGGTCATAGGGCCTAGTTTTAACATTTAATTATTTAGTGATTAATTAATTAATTAATTAAATTTATTCACTATCCATCTTGCTGTCCCATGATTCTGGGCAGTTTGCAATAAATTTATATTATAAAAAATTAAAACTTGATAAATACATTAAAATCAATGAGGAAATAGTTAAAATAATTGGGGGGAGGGGATTATACAATAGAATAGAAGGTGGGCTCTTCTAATCCAGTAACTCCCTCCAGGATGACATGCCTCTGTCCAGGCCCCAGGCCAATCAGCAGAGCCAAGTTTTAAGGCCATTACTGATGAAATAATTCTATGAGAAAGAATTAAGACATTAATTAGCAAGGTTGAGAAACCGGAGAAAATGCTCTGAGGCTTCTGAGTGATTATTTATTTCTTTGTTTTTCCATTTTTTCCTGTTATAGAGCTAGAGTCCCGATAACGTCCCATACAGGAATTGTTTTAAGTATACACATATTTAGCTAGAAGACCAGACAGAACAAAATGGACAAAATAACTGAATTCTACATAGGTGGGCACAGTGACTCAGAAGTTAAAGATGCTGAGCTTGTCAGCTGGAAAGACCTGAGCTCTAAGTGATGGGGTGAGCTCCCGTTACTTGCTCCAGCTCCCGCCCACCTTGCAGTTCAAAACATGCAAATGTGAATAGGCAAATAGGTATTGCTTCAGTGGGAAGGTAGTGTTCTATGCGCTTGGCATATAATCATGCTGGCCACATGATCACAGAAGTAGTTTTGGAAAATTCTGGCTCTCTTGGCTAAGAAATGGACATGAGCACCGCCCCCTAGATTCAGACACAACTGGAAAGGGGAAAACTTTAGTAGTTCTGCATATGGCTAAAAAGAAACACTACTTAATAATAGTCATTATTAATTTATGAATGGGCTAAGCCCACCCTTGGCTGTTAAATTTACAAAGCAAAAGAATGCATACTTGGGGTCCCCCCCCACCCCCCAAAGTCATAGATGGGCAGTTCATGGGATCAAGCCTGGACATTAATGTTTTAATGGGATATAAAGTCTGTGAATTGTTTTACTTGTTAATGGATTAGGATTTTTTTGGCATTTGGCATTCCTCCCCCCCCCCCCCCACACACACATGTACACACATACACAAACATATTTTATTTAACTGAATTATGTGTATTTGGGGGTTCTGCTATATTTTCTTGTGTTTTTCCTGAAAATGGATGGAGATAGTTCTAGATGCTGCAAGGAAGGTGATTTGGGACTGCTTCTAAGCCAACAATTTCAATGTGAATAAATAAATAAAAATTATAAAAACTTGAGCTAACTAAGGGCTACAGAGGATTATTTTAAAATCCGTTACAGAATGCAAAGGAATCTTGACAGGAAAAGTGGATAAAGGCTTCTTACTTTGATCTAATAGAATAATCTGTATCACAAACATTTGCATAGAGCAAAGCGCTGCTATTGTGAGCTAAAAACTAAAGCTAGAATGAAGAACATGTGCCCAAATACATATAAGATGCTTCACCTTTGAGCATGCTCACTACAACAACTGAAAGATATAGTTCAAGAACATCTTGAGATGCAGATTCCCTATTTCTGTTTTACAGACATATTAAGCCTACTTGATTATTGAAGGTATTAATTTTAAAGTTTTTAAGTCATCCTAAAAATGTGTGACGCTAATGGAATACTTGGCTGAGGTTTCAGCTTTATTATTGTATTTATTATTAAATAATAATAAATTTATTTTGATTTCATTTTTTTGGCTAAATTTTATGAATTGGATCTACCTCATAAAATCTGAACAATTTGTGTAACAAAGGTGCCAGGAGTCTTCTTGATTGTAGCAAAGCATAAATCCAAGAAAATCTGTAATATGGATTTCAAAATTGTAATACAATCGTTTCAGGACACAAAATTGTAAATGTAGTCCTTGGGGGAAAAAACCCCAGATTTTAGGAAGATTAATTTAGTTTCAATAGGGATGTTCTCTATTATTGGATTACCGAGAAATATTGAAGAATATTCACCAAATTTACCTGGATATTTAAAAGTCTTAAGTATTTTGTATGTTTCTTCTTCGGTCAGAAAGTATGTACTGATCAATAGGTCAGTTACAGCTACAGCTCTGACTAAATTACCACCTAAGGAGAACCAGCAGTTCGTTTCCCATCTCCTTCAGTTTTAATAGCTGATTATTACAAATAGCCAAGCATGTATTAATAAAAACTACTAATATTAATAGAGTGATTCACAAACTATTACTCTCCCAATTGTCAATAACATCTCAGAATCCACTGCTAATTTGCATTATTCCAGCTTCACTGTCATTAGCTAGCATTTTATTATATAATTCAATAAATTGTAGATTGTTTTATTTTTAAACAATTTTAGCTCTTTTTGTTTTTAACTCTGGATGGTTCCATGCAAACTGTGGCTATAAAACTGTGGTAGTCTGCAAATGCATTGAAGCAATTTCTAAATGCTTTAGTTAACAATAACCGCACTAATCCCAGCGCCTAATTTGCTATCTTGATAATTGAGATAAAGGCTGCTATGAGCAAAGTCAGATATCACCTAAGCTTGTAAGACTGGTATATATAGAACAGCACCAGTTCAAAAAAATTAAAATAATTTCTTTATTTTTCAGAAAGAAACAAAGAAAAAACAAAATTATAGTGAGGGTAAACCAAATCAAAGCATATGTATTCTGCACCCTGGGATAGCATGGCTATGGTTACTGAAATAATACTTTTGATTCCAGGACAAAAAAAAACCATTAAATAATTCTTTTAAAATACTAGCAATTTTAAAATGATTTGTAGGAAGCAAAAGTTTGAGAACCATGAATCTGTTGAATAAAGAGATGGTTCAAAAATAATGGAGCTGCAACACAATTTCTCATCTCTCAGCTGCATCTTTAGGCTTTTTTGCTGATGCTTTTTTTATTAGCAAGGCTTTTTTGCTGATGCCTTTTATTAGCTTCTCCCTGCATGTGTATGTATTGATTGGCTGTGCCCAATTCACCCAAAGAAAACCATAAAGTATAGAATTATCTACGTTGCATAGGTGTTTGAATACCCTTCTAGAGTTTCAGCATGATTTGCTTGTCCTCAACCTGCAAATGTTGCAATCTGTGTGACTTCAAGAATACAACTGAGTCTTTAAGGAGCAATTTGTGCTTCATATCTTAGGTTCATTGGAAATATCTTTTTTATAGTTGTTTAGTTCAATTCCAGAATTAAAATAACATTCTAAATGCAATTATAGAATGCATCTCATGAGGTTTCCTGTTGAACAAGTTATTTCTTCTTTTCCTTAATTATATGCTACATTCTATTAATACATTTTCTACCAGTCGGAACATACAGTGATTCTATAGATTGAACTATTTTATTCTCCAGCAATATTGTAGAAACCTATTCAAGCAAATAGCAATTCCCAAGCTCTTATATCTAGTTTAGCCTTGGAATTATTTACATGCCTTGTTCCACATTGCATGTAATTTTATTTATTTAAAGACATATCAGTATACATTCTGATTTTAATTAAGTTTTGATAGGATTTTAAAGTTCCATATACCAGAAACGTTTTCAATTTAGAGCTATTAACACTGTGAATGTGGTTAAAATAACTGTTGCTATTACACCTTTTCTTCTCAGGTATTCTGTTCTATCCACATGTAACTTAATAGTATTTCAGCTATCCCATTTTACTAGTTTTGCCTGTTAGTCAAAATCCACATAATCGGTATTGTACCTGAGTTTGTACATGGACGATGCCATGTGGATTTGGGGAGTCCTGTTGGATTAGATTTTGGAAAAAATTAAGCTTTGCATGAAGGAAGTCCCAATTTCTGACTGTACATATAATAGTTCCAGATAGGAACTTTTCAAAAAGACTTTCTTTTTGTGAACCATGGGAAAGCCGTTGACAGACCGAATACGATTTGGAAGAGATGTTTCAATGAACTGAGTCTGCCTAAAATAGCTTTGCAATCCAATTAATAAGTGCTTGAATAATAAATACTTAAGTATAATTCATATTGTCACTATGTTAATTGAATGTTACTTCCTGTTGTCTATTGTTTTCCTGCACTAATTTACTTTGTCCCTGACTGTAAATTGTCTTTTTATTGATTGTGGGGTTTTACATCTTTGAATGAAAAAAACCTAAACTTTTATAATTGCAAGCACACTTTCTAAGGATTCATTGTGCCTCTCACCTTAGGATTTGGATTGTTTACATCTAAATCCTATTATTGCTCAGTTAGTCATTTCATGTTAACAGGGTGATTCACCGGTAGTCAACAGGTTATTATTGTTACCGATCTCTGCTGGACTTCATATAAGCTGGAAGGCTTAGAGGTTATTTCTTTTGTTTTCCATGTATCATATGTTCCATAGTTGAGGGTGGAGGGAGTGTATGCAAGAAACTCTCTGTCAGACCTACCATGGGACTCGCAATTGGTTTTCAAGTCCATTCATACACAATGCCATTTCTTTCCCCTGTGTAATCCCAGTGTTGGTAGTGAATCATGTGCATCTCCTTTGGATTGTGGCATTGTTTTTGTCTGAAGTACTTGTGTGTTAATTCTGTGGGTGTTGCCATTCCTTTTACTTGCAGCCTCTCGACGTCATTCCAGATCCACTAGTGCTCTCTCCACTGCTGATTCTGTTGGGCAGTCAGGTGAACAAGTGCTAACTGCATGAATCTGCTTCTTAATATTGTCTCTTTTTTATTACCTTTGTAACCTTTGCTCTCACAAACTTCATTCAGCACTTAGCATGTGGGATCATCATGAGATTATCATTATTTAACATGCTTTTGTCATATTCTATTTTTGAATGTTTTTTATTTTTGCTAATTTTTATTCTTTTGCTTAATGTTATTTCTGGAAATTAAACAATATTACAGCGGCCAATAGAATATTGTCATGTATTTCCCCTGTACCTCTCAGGAAGTACTAAGGAAGGACACAGCAACTTCCTCCTCTTTATATCTATGAAAAGCAACCATAGCAATTGTTCATTAGTGAATAATATTTCTAACATCCAACAACTAGCTAATGAGATTAAGACAACTAAGGAAGAGGGTCAGCTTTCAGCCATAGTTTTGAGTTTTTAATACCTTGTTGATTAGGATCACACATAATGCATGAGCAAAAATACCTTGTATGGACAATACGAACACAAATATTTTATTTCCCCTTTTCATAAAAATGGTTGGGAGAAGAAATAAGCCACAATCTCATTTTACTTTACATAAACATTTCCTGGCCTCAGGTATTCCAGATGTTTTGGCTATAGTTCTCACCATTCTAAACCATCATAGCCACTCAACACGTTTGGTGGACTCATACTACAAAAATCTTCACAATACCAGTTGGAGAAAACTGCATCAGCTAGTCCTTGGCATGATTCTATAGATAAGCCAGTAAGTAGTTTGTTAAATTAAGTTTATGATGGTTAGTGTAATGCTAGTTTCAATTGATTTTAAATTATTATATTTGGTTTCTATATAGTGAAAATTAGGAATAAAGAAATCAAATATTTCTTTACTCTCCTCCTCCTGGCCTGGCCTTTAGAGGAATGGCCATCCAAGTCTGGGGTTTTACCAAGTATCTTTACTGCTAGTTCATGTAGTGCTACAGGTACATGGTCATCAAAGTGGCAAAACTTTGCCCATCAACCTCAAAATTTATAGTTCTGAGACAAAAATAAAACAGTACGATAGAATTTCAGTTTAATGGACACGTTGCTTAGGTCTCTTGAAAACTATGCTACTTCTTTGATGATAGGAAATTATATAAAAATTAGAATTGAAAAGAAAGTCATTATGATGTTATCTGGGATGTGGAATATATAAATATTGAAAGAAAAAACTCTAGAAACAGGATCTACACCTGTTTGATACAGGTTTTAAATACTGATAATGTAAAACATTTACTATCAAGTAAATTCCAGATGTATATCTTGAAACCTCCCTCTATTTACCTAATAGTTTTATGTGGACCACAAAAATCAGCCCCTTAATGTTACTTGCTTTCTTTATATTAATTTAAGTTAAAAGGCCCCACTGAATGAAAATGGTGTTTTTTAAATATATTTTTACATCAAAGCTTCATCTGTAAAATATGTACAGAAGTCTCTTTTGCTGTAAGAGATTGTTGTTCTTTAACTTAAGTGAGGCTCAGTCATGTATGTGACTTTATCAAAGCTAGCTTATAATAAAAGTCCTTGTGTATCACAGAATAGAGGTCATTGCCAAGACTTTGATGGGTAAATTCCAGCTCACTCAGCCCTCCCCATTACTACCCATATACTGGCCAGTGACCCACGAAACAATTGCTCTTTCTCTCCTACTTTCTTGTCCATCTATCTTTTCTGCTGACTCTGTCTCTCCACTTCTTGAATGCATGGCTTATTGGTGATAAGGCTTATTATTCCAAAAATACAGCCTGCTACAATGTGTGCTGGCCAATACTGATAAAACATATAATTTGGGGATGTGAATTTAATTGTTGCACATAACTAGCTTTATATACTACTGATGTTTATTAGTACAGTCTGAAGGGCTGTGGTGGTGCTGTGGTTAATGAATGCAGTACCACAGGCTACTTCTGCTGACTGTTGATTGCCAACAGTTTGGCAGTTCGAATCTCACCAGGCTCAAGGTTGTTGACTCAGCCTTCCATCATTCTGAGGTTGGTAAAATGAGGACCCAGATTGTTGGGAGCAATATGCTGACTTATAAGCCACTTAGAGAAGGCTGTAAAGGCCTGTAAAGCGGTATATAATTCTTACGTGCTACTGCTATTGTTGAATTACCTTGGAACAATATTTCTTTCCATGCAGTTAATAACCATTAATACCATTTCACAAGCTTCTCTTAAAATAGTTTCTTCAGTGTTAGATCAGTTATTAACAAAAGTGAAATAACATGACATAGTACCACCACCACCAATCTTTCTGTGTAACAGAGGTGCCCACAAAAAGATTTAAAAACTTTTCCATTGAGATTTTAGAGGCTATCACCAAGACTCAAGCCCCCCCCCCCCTTCTACCTGGATAGAATATAAGAATGACACCAATTGAGACTGGAATTTCCATCGCTAAGCAAAACGGTCATTAAGCAAAACATCACATGACCTTAGCAACAGCTAAGCAACAGTTTAGTTGTTCTGGTAGTCCTGGTTATGGTTATTCAGCAAGGGCTTCATGCTTCTGCCTTGTTATGCTTGCTCCACTTCAACTCCCCCTGCCTGTCATCCCACCCATGTCTTTCTTTTTGGCCACCCTATACTCCACTGCCCCCTCCCCCCCCCAGCTGATCTTCCTCTCACTGCTGATGAGGAACATCTGGTTGAAGCATCAGCTGTCCCTTTTGTAAGGCATCCGAGCATTGCATGAACCTTTGGGAAGAATTCCCAAAGCCTCACAAAGGACAGCAGCTGCCTCAGCCAGGCATGCCTTGTCAGCAGTGGGAGGAGAAGATAGCGATGGTCAGCAGGAACAGCAGCAACTGAGTGCAGAGTGGCTAAAAAGATACAGATAAGGGAAGATAGGTGGGGGATTTGAAGTACACACTGCAACTGTAAAGTGCTAGCTTTTTTGCCTGAATTTTGATTATGTGACAGGAGGGTCACTGCAAGTCTGCAATTCCTTCAGCACTATCGTAACTTCAAATGGTTGCTGAACAAATGGTCATTAAGCGAGGACTACCTATGTGCTATTCTCTGTCAGTATAATAGCTTTAGAGCCTTCTGGGATTTATTGGAGATTTCTGCTCGTGCTCCTGAGGTAAATTTCCATTATCTGATAGAGTTATAATCAAGATAGGAACTGAAAAATACAGAATAAAATCCAGTGAAGTCCATTCCTTCATCACCACCACTACCGCCTCCACCACCATCATCATCTTTGTTGCTGTTCATATGCTAAAAATTGGGACATAAAGTTGCATGTCAGATATACTTAATATGATTTAATTTAGTTGTTTCTATTGAATATTTTAAAGGCTTGCAACTTTACTTTGCCATTTTGATTATCCATGTCTTTTTAAAACTATCTTTCCTTTTCTAATGCAATGACAATTTTTATTTAAAACTACATGAAGCCAGGTTTAGGACTGGTTCTTCTGGAAATTTGAGTATTTCAATTTAGTTAGAGTAAGTTGGAATAAGATTTTCACCCTTTATATAAGAACATTGGGGGTTTTTTTTGCTACCAAATTTATTTCTCAGAAAAATGTTCTTTTGGAGAGGGGCTATCAGTAGTCAAACTAGGATGCAAATATACTTTTACTTACATTTGGACTTGTCAAATGATTATTCTGTACAGTATCAAATTAAGATGTAATCTAGTCAAGTTTATTGATTTTTTTAAAAAACCATTGTTTTTTTAAAAAAACAATAACTGCATATTCATGATAGATTCCTTTCCCATTGTTCCAAAAATTACTAATTTCTCATGTCCCGAAACTAGTCAAGTAATATTCATGAGATGTCGTCCTAGGAAGTGTGACTAGGTTCTTGATACACTGATAACAATGACTTGCAATGTCTGTGAGCAAAACCTCTAGTCTAACATGCTCACATGTTTTTAGTGGAACAACATTGCAGTTTGTATATGTGCATTTTTGATGAATATGTAGGTGTATACATCCCCCCCCAATGGTAGAAATCAAGTCATACATATCATAAATTATTTTCAAAAATATTATTAGTGATAATTCTGCAAGATTTAAATGGGTGAAATTCAATTTCAGTTGAGATTGGAACTAAAGGATTGAAAAACCGAGTTATCCTATTATTGATTGCATCTTTGAAATAACCTGCTCAGTTTGTTCAGTAGAGAACTGCAAAATATTTTCATAATGTACACATTCTTACTGGGCCTTAAGATACTATGCTGAATGAACAAAATGACATGGCAAAATATTTGGATTCTCATATTCATTATCATTATTTCACCAAATCTTCCTGCTTGGAGCAAAGCTGATGTTTGAAATAAGCATCTGTGCTGCTTCAGCAACTACACGCATTAAAAAAGGAGATAGTAATACATATAGTTTTTCTTTCTCAGTAAACTTCATCAATTCCTTTTCAAAACAGGTTTTCATTAAAGACATTTAATTTTCGCATGTAATGTATCTTTTATTTTTTTAGAAAATGTGCTTGTTGTAAACTGTATGATCTTAGTAAAATTTGAAAAATATCAAACTCTTTTAAGTGGCATTACCACAATGCCCAAATGTATTTAATTTTGCTTTCTTCACATTAGCAGCAGTAATTGTTCACAATGTTGATCTGATCTTGTTCCCCTTAGTGGAAACTTAACAAATACAATAAAGTTAAATGGAGATTTTGTCTGTGAAGGATTAAAATTGGTTCATAAATAATATTTCCCAGTGATATTTTTCTGTTTCTAGGTTTTTATATTGATTATTGTTGCCATTTTCTCCAATTGATATTGAAAGACATTTCTGTGCATTAGGGTTGAAATGATAACTCTGCTTAAACAAATGTTATTTTTTTAATTAGAGTGCCCTTTAAATAGTTACATTCACTTTCTTAACATAAAAAAGTTTATTTGCTGGTAACAACAAATGATAAATTGTACATTCATCCTCTAACATAGCTGGATGCCATACTATGAGTGAAGTCCAATTTAATGGGGCTACAAATGGAAGGGACAGTAAAATAAATAAATAAATAAATAAATAAACAAATAAATAAATAAATAAATAAATGGAATAATCTAATTCTTTATTATATACACAATATTAATTGGACACCATTGAACAGTTTTCTTGAAATGCATGAGAAGCATATTTCCCTTTACATCAGTTATATGCAGCTAATTGCCTTCATTGGAATGACTATTTTAAATCTCCCACAATTAAGCCTTTGGGAGTTCATTGATGAGGAAGGAAATATGGCAGTTGTGTACAGTTTAAGCAACACTGGTCAGGACAATTTTTAAAAAAAGATTATTGGTAAATCTATCTGTTGATGTAATATTTAAAAATGCACATTTATTCTAATTCTGCATTACTTCTCCAATATAATAGTATTTTCCAATCTTGGTAACTTTAGGATACACAGAGTGCTAGGGGATTCTGGCAGTTGGTCAACGTGTCTTAAAGTTGCCAAGGTTGGGAAATGCTTTCATATAATATACTTACAAAAAAAATCATAATTTAATCTTTAGATTTAAGAAAATAAAATAATCTTTAAAAACACAAATTAGTAAGTCTGAAACAATTTTAATGAACTAAAAAAAATTTTTTTTTAAAGTATAACATTTATCTGTATCTACATTAAGAGATTGGAGTGGGGAAATCTTAAAATTATTTGATGGTCTATGAAGATTTATTCATCTTCCAAATACAATGGGAATAGGGTATGAAGTATTTTTTTTTTAAACCTCACTTTTAATTTTTTGTTGATCAGTTGTTCAAATTGCTTTAACCTTATTTTTGATTCTTGGTTCTGTTTTCACTAAACCTCAACCAGGAAGTATACAAATACACAACAATCAGAATAATTGGAACTATTCAGATTAAGACTTGAATAAGCATAAAACAAGACTTGAATAAACATAAAAATACTATTGCAAGACTTAGAAGTAAGTTAAGGAATTAACAATACATTACTGCAAGTTTCTTACTTGAAGAATTTCGCCATAGTGCTTAATACTACATCCTTTGGAAAATTGAGACTATGTAAAAGTAGTTACATCTAACCATTATTATAAAAGAGTTTAAATAACAGTCTCCCCCCTGTCCCTCTTTTCTAACCATATACACAGAATTTGTTTGACTTTCTATTATACCTCATAGTAACTCCTAAAACCTGGACCCAATAACAATTAAAGCAGCCAATGGCCTTATTAATATTCCAAAGGGTTGTGAACTTATGTAATGATGACTTTCACTCTTGTCTTTTGTTTAGAACGGTTTGGGCTTGGCCAGCCAGGCAGGTTGCCTGCCTCTATGAATGCAATGCGAGTTCTGAGTACAAGCACAGATCTGGAAACTGCTGTGGCAGATGCATTGGTAAGAGGGAAAGCACAACATGTTACCAACTCCAGAAAGTTATTTGAAGTTGCTTTCTGTACGTACATTTTCCTCTTCTTAATTTTATGTGTGTTCCTATTAAATGAGCCTGTATGTGTACATGTGACTCTGCCTAAATCTTTCTTTAGGATTTGGGAAGATGTGAGGAAAGGGGTTTTTAATGCATAATTGCATTGTGAAGAGTAAAATTGTTGATATAAGTGCAGTGAAACGTAGAAGATGAGTTTCACAGTCTGATCCTAATCTTTTATTTGTGGAAATAAATCTTAACTGTTGGTATTCATTCTCTTTCAAGTAAATGCATAATAGTGAAACCATCTGTGTCAAATACTTATGAATGCCATTATAGTTATCTTATGAAGTGAATGGAATAGTTTCCTAGTATAAGTTGTGAATAATACTTATACTGAATGTGTTAGTGTGTGCAATATATTTGCTTCATATTCCACAAATGTGCTTTATTTTTATTCATTTATCCATTTTGGAGAGTTAAAATTTATAGTTGAAATGTCTGTTGAGAATAAATTGCCTTGTCCTACCTTAGGGAAAGTTTGTACGGGTTACTTTGACAAAGGCTTCTGATGTTAATTCTAGAGATTTCTGATCAGGATCACTTAATTAATTACCATTAACAATAATTAATAATAATTAGATTATGGGTTGATGGACCTGCACCTGTTGGTTGGTCTTTGGATGATTTGCAGTAGTAACACACATTTCTGATTCTTAGTTATGTAGCAGTACTATTCCAGTCATCTCTTTTCAGTTCTGAAATTATATTAAATATAAAAAAGTTTAAAGTAACTAAGGTTTATGTAAAAAAAAAATAAGATGAACTAAACTTCATATTTCATATTTAAACTTCATTAAATATGTACTTTAATATTTTCAAATTCTCTAGTATTCTTGAAATTAAGAGTCTACTTAAAATAAAATATATATAAATAATTTTATAAATAAATATAACAGATTGCATCACTACATCTCTGACTGCAAGTAATTCTATGAAATAGGTGGTTAAGGTCATATTTACTGAAAGCTACTTTTGACATTTTGCTCTTACTCCTAAGATCCAGAGTGGCAGAAAATATTTGGAAGGCTTTTAGCCCTATGAACTATGAGTTACAAGATAATGCATGAACAGCATATATTTTCTCTAAATCTGTATAACACAATACAGTTGACACCTGCATTCTCATCCACTGGGTGATCTATAAATTCTCTATGAATCTGGACTTTTATAAATTACTAGGAAGCACATGCTACATGCATATTTTTGACATTGTTTTATAGCAGAAAAAAACCCTTTCTTTCGAACTTTCTCTTTGCTCTTCTGCTGAATCCAGGTTTGTATTATTTTTCTTCTAGTAACACTATTCTAAAGACCTAATGTGTAATGGATTTGCAAACTAAGAACTGAAACGTAATCAAATGTTAAAATTGGAGCCACTTGGCTGATAAATGTTTAGTTTCTGATTTGATAAAATGAGGTTTACTGGATAAAATTATCTTACTTATAGGATGATGCCCAGGATTTTATTAAATATAAGATAAGGTTGTCTAGATATATATGATTAATGTAGTTACTTACATAAATTACATAATGATGAAGATCCCATTCATAGTCATGTGAAGCAATATTCTAAACAACTCCAGTTCCACTTCTTTTTCTTCAAAACTGCCATAAAATTTACATGTGGAATTTTGGGAATGAGATGGTAGATTGGGGAGCTAATTGTTGATACTCTGATTCACGCGACTTGAGCTTGGATAAGTTGGATATGGGGTCTGGAAGAAATGAAGGCTTGCTGTCCTCAGTGTTGGTAAATGTGACTTTCATCTGACTTACCTTTATGGCCAAAGGTAAGGCCAATTTCAAAGGAAAAAAATCCTTTATCTGAGATACACTTCAGCACTGTGATTTTAGAAGGAAGGTTATAATGCTAGCTCCTGTAACTAGAATTTGCCCTGACTCTTTTCTACCTATTGATAACCATGTATGAAATCATCCATTGGACCAATGGTCTTTTACTTTTGCTTCTTGAAGATATAATTTAAATAATAACAATAAATTTTGATATAATTTTGAATGATAGCAAATACCTTAGGATAGAGAACTGAACTTTTGGTCCTGAAATGTTGCATTCATACAATTGCACACAACTTCTCCTTTAGCAGAAATTGTGACTATTTTAGGAAGTTCACTATAGTACCATGTTTATCTGTTTTCCATTTCACAATTATAGAAAATGTAATTGTCCGTTTTTAGCAATCTTACTCCAAAAGTGGATAAAGAATGTATTCTTTTCCCCTGTGTTCTAGCTTTCATTGATCAGAACTATTTAAATCAGTGGCCCCCAACCTTTTCGGATTGGCGGCCTGGGGTGGAGGAACAGGACCACATGAGCAGCAAGTCAACGTCCGTGTGTGCATAGGCAACTTCACTTGTGCAAGCATTGGGCCAGTGCGCAAGTGCAGCTTGACCTATGGAGGTTGAGTTGTACAGGCGTGCGCAGCATGCCAGCCTGCTGCTCGCACAAGTCGAGTTGTGCATATGTGCACACTGGTCCACCACTCTCCCGGCCCGGTTGCAAATAGGCCACAACCCAGTAATAGGCTGGGGGCTCAGGACCCCTGATTGAAATGATAGTGATCATTTTAATTTGTAGTATTTGTCTTATTTTAATCAAATCTTAACTAGTGTGATGAGCATATTTGGTTAATTTCACTTACAAAGAGGCAAACTGTGGTTGAGAAATTCATGTAAGGATATACTTAACTCTTAACCAGAGGCATTCTATTTCGGCTACACTATTACAGACATGAGGTCATAATGACCCCTCATACATTTTTGTTAATCTATGAAAATAATAGCTGGGATACTGTTGTTAAATTTACTTTGTATAATTATAATTTTCATTGATTGATCAAATTAACAAATTTTATAAATTCTATTCGCAACCAGAATGGTCCATTTCTAAAAATAGGGGTGTTCCGGACATTTTGGAAAACTGTTGCAGTCACTATGACCTCAGGTCTGTGGTTAAGAGTTAATGATATTTTGTTACTTTATCATTTTTTAGAAACCCTCTTAAAAATTCACAAGTTTTTAAAATGTGATTCGTAAAAAAAAAGTCCATCTCTGTCTTTTCAGAACTTAGCTTCTTTTGCTCTGTGTTGTTGACAATCACCATCAACAGTCCTTTAACTTTCTTCAGCTGTTCTCTTGCCTATTCATCTTCACTTCTTGTATAAATATTCTAAATATTCTATTTCTCCTTTGTTCTCCATCTTTGGATTCAAGATGCTTTGCTTCACAGTAAAAGCTTTATTTCCATTTTTTAAAAAAATGCAAAACAAGTCCATTCAGATCAAATTCTCTGCCCTGGCCAAGGCTGATAGTTGTTCCTGTAAAAAGAGATCAACTGAGCCTGGTCCAAGGAAGAGTTCTTTTATTCCTAGATCACTGCAGAGAAAGACCTCTTGACAGGAAACCAGATAAACTTTGAGACAAAGGTTATTTATTCAGTAGTAGAAGAGAGTAAGCTATAAGAACTGAACTCTTGACCCTCACGGTCTATTTGATCATCTTTAGTGACAAAAGAGCTCTTGGAGTTTAATTCCAGGAGGTGAACGGGAATATTTGGTATTTGGTATCTATTACAGTAAACTGTCCTCAAATGGCACCTAGTAGGTAAATAATAACCATGATGGATCTCTTCGCCCCCCTCCCCCCCTTGAGAGTACTATACAGACATCAGCATGACATGAAACAGACACAAAGTATAGCTGAGAAAGTAAGTCATCAATTTAGACACTGCAGTTGCTGGAAACTAACAAAACAGTTTGTCAGTGATTTGAGGCCAGAAACATGCAGGTGTGGTACACACCCTAAAACAGGCTTCATACAAAACACAAAACTCGTGGGGGAGGGAATCTTAGCTTTTACTGATATACAGTGCATAACTCCATCCTAACCCTATCCACTGTGGACTTTATCCTCAGGAATACTAAATACTCCCCCAGTCGCCCCTTCAAATATAGCCCATTTCTGGTGTATTAGTGTTGCCTTTGGAAAGCCAGAATTCTAAATGCATATTACTTGTGCTCATATATTTTTGAAGTCCTTGGCTGTAGCAAGATGAGAACAGAAGAATGCACAATCTGATGCTTCTGTCTGAACTCATTTTATATTTCTTAAAAGAAACTGGCTGAATTTGTATTTTTAATTTGCTAAGTCTCATTTGCTTGTATTTTTGTTGCAAAAAGAAAATGCCTGCAGAAGCTTCTGACATAATTCTCTATGCTTTTTCCCCATCCTTCAATATTTTCCTGTATACAGCTCTTAGGAGACTCCAGAAGCAAGGTACTAGTGCCATCCTGACATTTTTTCTCCCTGCCTCTTTCTTTCTTTCTTTCCTTCCCTCCCTCTCATTTTTTTTGTCTTCCCCTGTTACAAGTATTATATAGGGCTGTAATTATGTTGATACCTTAATGTTCAAAACTTGCATCCTATCAAACTGCAGAACTTTGGTGCCTTCAACCTGTGTAGTATATCTGTATATTCATTCCAACCTTTTGGCTTGCCTGAGCTGCGTTGAATGAAAAGGAATTGTCTTTGGCCACATATAAAATATATAATCTAGTTGATATATAAATAAATAACAATTCCTTTTTAAAAAAAAATATTTTTATTATCTTGTGGTGCCGCATTACTAGCTGCCCAGGGCCACAGGTTGGAGATGCTTGATACAGACTTTCTGAAAAGTATACAGAAAATATACAGGGGGATAGAAAAGATATGGAAATAGACTTAGGTGGCTAATATAATTTCTGGTAGCCACAGAAAAATATTTGATAATAAGACTGAAGTTCTCATTAGGACCATGCAAAGCCTTCAAGAGAGGAGCTGCCTAATTGGTGGGAGCAATGAGGCTATACATTTAAGACAGCTATACATGAAGCAATGTGGCTAAACATTTAAGATAGCTGGGAGCAACTTATTAAACAGTTGTGTAAACCTGAAAAAGAGCATGGCTATTTTACTGATTTGAAAAGAGGGGCTTTAAATCTGCTCTTTCATACTATAAAGTACTTCTTTTGAAGAATTTGCATAGTTCCCCATCACTTAAAACATCCCTTGAGGGTGTGGGCATCTTTGTCTGGCACTCACCTGGATTTTTGTTCAGAATGAACAGTAATTTAACATGATCAGAACAATTGTACTGAATTGTTTCTTTTGCAGATGTGGGATGCTTCAAGGGGCTAGGGAAGGCCCTGGGGACCCAGGTTGTGCATGGAGACTTGCCATGGGTCAGAAGTCTCAGCCAGCTAGAGGACCCACTAGTGTACAGAACCTGTGGGAGGCTGGGAGGTCTCAGCCTTCTGCACACCTCATAATGCCCAGTCTTCCTCCCTGCCCTACTGTACCCAGGAGACCTAGGCCTGGTCCCCAGCCTGTACAGGTGTACAGGAAAGGCCCAACAATGCACATAAATTGCTCTACTCACCTTTGTATTTTTCTGCAGCTACTGATAGCTGCATCCACCCAATGTGACATGCAGCCTTTCTGGCCACCTCGTGCCATTCTGCAAGTGAGCAGCAGCTCTCACAATCATTCAGAAGGCTAGAAAGAGTCTTACTCTAGCCTCCCAAATGATTGTGCTAGCATTTATTAGAAAGGCTATAAAGAGGTTCTTTTTAGTCTTCTAGACAATCACATGAGCTGGTGCCATTCTCTTTCTACCCTAGGCTAGAAAGCTAGTGAACATGATTATTTGGACAGCTAGAAAGAGCCTCTTTCTAGCTTTCTGAATGACCACCAGAGCTGGTGCCGTTATCGCATTAGCTCAGAAGGCTGCTTCTCCAAATCACACAATTTGGCATCTGCTTGCAGAATATCATGAGACTATCTCTCTGGCAAGGCTGCATGTTGCATCAACTGGATGTTCTTGTCATAAACTGCAGAAAACTCAAAGATGAGTGGGAAAAATTACATTTGCTGCTATCCTTGTAATAAATTGAGATCTCCTGCACATAGTAGGATGGCAAGCAGGCCCAGCCTTTAAGCCTGGAGTAGATTTGGGCACACTGATGGACCTGGTGGGCAGCTAAGATAGGGAACCCCTATGGTCAATCCAAGAGCTGTGGTGGCGCAATGATTAGAATGCAGCACTACATGCTACTTCTGTTGACTACCGGCTGTCGGCAGTTTGAGTCCCACCGACTCAAGGTTGACTCAGCCTTCCATCCTTCTTAGGTCAGTAAAATGAGGACCCAGATTGTTGGGGGCAACAAGCTGACATTGTAAACCACTTAGAGAGGACTGTAAAGCACTGTGAAACGGTATATACAGTGGGGCAAAAAAGTATTTAGTCAGCCACCAATTGTGCAAGTTCTCTTCTCCCACTTAAAAAGATGAGAGAGGCCTGTAATTGACATCATAGGTAGACCTCAACTATGAGAGACAAAATAAG